AATACTTATCTTAATGTGTTCTCTTTATACATTGTTGCTATTCCTGGCCGAATTCACTATATTTTTATGAAATTCTTTGATTTCTACAGGTTTATTTGCTTTTGGCTATCAATAACTCTTGATATATTGGTGCTACTGCTGGCCCGATTCACTATATCTCTAATTTTCCGTGGAATGGTGTGAATTGTAGGCTTCAAGTGATTTACTGATTACATGTGTACATTTTGATATTTTTTGGGGAAGAAATCGTAGTGGTCATTCTTTTGTTTGACCAGCAGCTAAGATTATCAGTTTCATCCTTATTGTAAGCTCTCAAATATTTAATCTATTCAGTATGTAACTTCCTGATTTAGTCTGTTGAGTTCAAGTTTTATGAATTTGACTCCTTTGTGATGCAAAGACATTTGGAATGCTTACCAATTAGTACTTTTGGATCCTTGCTCTCTTTAACAATTGTACTGTTGAGTGAGGTAAGTGACCGAAAAAAACAATCAAGTTCTAGAAACAGAACAGATCAAATCATGGAAAAGGATTGATTTCAGATTCTCTGATTATCATTCCTTCAGGTACAATTTCACATGCCTAAAGATGAAATGAATATTCTATCATTTGATTTAGTTGCACACTTGAAAGATAGCCCATAAAGTCACGGGAATAGTTGGTTTATTGATACGGACCCTAGGGGAGTGGAATGGATTTAGAAAATGCATTATCGACCTCAAATTGTTTGGAATCGAGGGATAGCTGATGTTGCACACTACTAATTTTATCAGGGTGGGTTATAGTAGACGGAACACAATGTTGGGAGCTATATTCTGTGCATGTATTCACTTTGGGTTGTATAAAATGGCTTATCTTTATATTGAGGAGAGAATTTTCTCGAAAGCAGTTCCTGAGGTAAACTGGGGGAAATTTCAATAGATGAAATGTTATGGAGAATTGACAGAGTCACAACTATGAATTGGTCTGTTGTTGCAATATCTTGTGTTGTGCTTTGTGTGAGTTGCTAATATGTTTTCTTTTTGAAGGTCTTTTTTCTATCTGGTTTATTAGTTGCATGGTCATGATGGATCTTGATCTCAACAAGTTCAGAAATGGTAGGATTTTTGAGGTATTAAATGTCTTGCAGTATTTGCTCCTAGATTGTTTTTTCCCCTTTGCTTCAATAATGTTATACTTTTATCAAATCAAATGCAAGTAACTGATGAGTAAGCTTTTTATTATATAGTGGAACATTATATTTCCGTATAGCATATCTGGACATTTGTTGGTCTTTCCCAATGAAAGATTGAGAACTTTATTATCCCTTGGAATTTCTGGTTTTGATGATGTTTTCGAGGGTCATGGAAACTAGAATTTTAGAGAAAATCTTGTTTGGTGCAAAATCAAAGCTTATGCGTTGGGGGACTTTGTTGTCGTCACAATATATTTTTAATGATTAATTTGTGGTTAAGATATAAGGCTGGTCCTTTCATCTAATACTGCATGAGTGGCACTTATATGGATCCATTATTTTATGTACCTATAGAGGAATTTATCTATTTTCTTTTTTCATATATCGCCTAGCAAACATTTCTATTGCCAATTTACTGAAGTAACCATCTTTTCATTTTTTTGAAATATATGTTAAGGGCCTATACATGATATCTTGGCTTTGTCCTGGATGCTCTATGTTTCTTGTACGTTTTAATTTTTTTAGTTTCACCGTGCTCTCTCCCTATTTTCCCCCTGAACAATGGGAAACTCATTTGTGTACATTTAAAGGGCAGACTTTGATCTGGTAATACCTTTCATAGTTGTGAGTTACTAGGTTAGCGTGATCTTTTTAATCTGAAATCATTTTTCTACATGTTGAAAGTGTAGAAAAACTCTACAACAGGCTCTTTAACTGTACCACCACCTATGTGCAAAAACTCATTTTCGATTGAGAAAAAACTCCATATTGATTGTTCATGCTACTATATTCGCTGTCTATCAGAGCTTCATGATGAAAAGGATAGCTCGTGAGGTTTAAAGCAGTGATAGATTAAAGTTGGAGCTTCACGATGCTTCTGATCTTAAATAGATCAGTTGATGAAAGTCTTAAGAAGGCTGCTTCTGACATGTATTATTGCTTATTTTATTAGATTTTACTAAGCAATTTGTGCTATAGAAAGAGTTTGTTAAATTTTTGACACAAATTAGAAGTGCTCACTTTTGGAAACCTTAAAGGTCCAAAACTGCTCAAGAGCATATTTAAGGAACTGCTTTTAACCTACACCCAAACATAAGTGATATTGTTTTTTTCTTGTTCCTAGTGATTGAATTATCTTCGATGTGAATTTGAAAATATGAAATGCTCTTGAAAATTTTGCCTAAAGTTTAGCTTTATGGATGCTTATACATTCTCTCTATTGGATATTCTTAATCTGAAATTGAAATTTCCATCATGTGTGCCTGTTGTTTTGCGCTTCAGGATCTAGAGGACTTGGTGGTTCAGTTGATCTTCTAGACCATTATAAACTTAGGAAACATCTTGATTTTTTATGTAAGTGATCATTACCACCCTCTATATCTGAGACAGAATACCTTAGGAGTGTGGTGGGGGACAGAGAAATAAGGTGAGGTGAAGGGATGGAACTAGATCAGCTGTCCAAATGCTCCTCCTATGAGGGACGCAAATGTGTACACTTGCATTCCTTTTGGCTTGGATCTACTCACGGATGCTTTTCGACTCAGAGAAACATGATCTGTTGATCTTCCATCGGTAAGAATCCACCTTGTAATTCTTGATGTGCTCTCTTACTGTTTTGGGAGTGCTAACTCAAGGATCCGTTTGCTATACGAATGCAGTCTTGTCGTAAAATTTCCCAGTAATTTATCTATATGTTGTTAATAGGCAGGTATTGGGTTACCTTCAGGTGCATCAAGGCATAAAAAGAACAAACACAAAGATAGGTCAAGGAAACAGGATCCTAACAGTTGAATTGATAAGGATCGCATGCCAATCAGGGATAACAATAAGGAGAAAAATGGGAGTAAGAAGCAGAATCATCGTCCAGATTTGTTTCTGAGACAGCAAGCATAGGTAACACATAATCCGGGTTTCATTTTTGTGATAGTGGTTAGATCCAAGATAAAAATTTGGCTTCTTCTTTCAATAGCAATTTTGAATGGTGTAAATGATTGTGCTTGGCTTGCAGACTTGAAATTGATTTTATGCTTCTTGCCATGAACAGTTGCTTATATTATTTCATGATCAATTCTACATCTAATATTTCAAATGGAACTCTTTCTGCATAAAATGTGAAGTGTTGAAGTTGTTTTGCAGTTAGTGGTACATAGGGTTGAGATATTTGTTGCAATAATTTCTGCTATGGCTCTTTAGGTTAGTAATGTTATCCTTCATGAATCAGATAACTAACAGAAATATTTGTAGAGCTTAGATTTGTATGGAAGTTAAGTTGATATGTTTTTAGATAACTATCTAGTGTTGTTAATTGCTCTTTCAGAAGCCAATAACTGATGGCAATGGAGGTTTTTGTGGTATCCAGCCATACCAGAAAACTGAGTTAAAATAAGGTAGCTTTCATCCGACCTAGTAATAACAAATTTTCTTTATATAGAAAGTTCACAGTAATGTGTGGTAACTTAGCTGAGTAGCCACAAATTTTCTTTATTTTTCATTTCTGGCACGTGAATAACGGCATAGTAATTTTCTAAACTCATCACATATAATGCCCCAAGATCTGAACAGAATTGAGGATTTTAAAAAATGGTAGAAAATTGTCTTTCTCATAGTCAAAATAGCGGGGATGATTATCATACATATCTTTAATTAAGAGGCCCCCAAAGTTGCACATAAACAAAATAACTTGAAAAATGAGCTAGATCACTATTAAAAACAAGGGAAAAAATGACGGAGCCAATAATCGTCGCTTTTGGAGCGATGCCATTTGTGACGCTGGCCATCATTTTTATTTTCTTAAAACTTTTTAATTAAAAGTGACGGACAGTGACTATGTCTGTCGTTATTTTTGTCGGATTTTTGTTTTAAATGTATATAAAATTAATAATTTAATATATGTAGGATCGTCATGCATTGCTTTTAATTAAAAATAATTATTTATAAATTAATTAATAATGATGCCGTCCATCGTTCTTAATTAATTTTAATTTATCATTTTTTTAAAAATAAGCATTGGCCAACATCGGTTTATTCATCGCTTTCGGTCAAAGTGTTTGGTCAAACGTCTTTAAAAAAGTGATGTTGTCCATCACTTTTCTTAAAATATCATTGGAACCTATGAAGAAGAGTGAGTTTTCAAGTTGGATTAATTATTGAAAACCTACTTAAATTTTGTTGTATTTCTGATTTCATTAGGTAGGTTAAGTTTAGTTTTGTACAATTTCACAGAAGGATTTTTGTTATTGATAAACTCATCTTCTTCTACTAAATGCAGAATGTTTCTAATTACTTTGACCATGTCTTCTCTTACCTGATCATCTCTTTCACTGATACATCGACATCACTAGAATAAAATGTTTCTTTGCAATTTGTAGTTTATACAGCTAAATTTATCATTTATCAAGAATAGGTTGTTGATTATTATATATAAAATACAATGTAAAAATATACGGTAAAAGATGAAGAAAAAGAAGAATAAAGTGTTCTAGGTGATGAGAAACGTGTCATTAGAAGTAAAGTACAAGAAATTAAATGCACCATCTATATCTCTGAGTCAACGACTTTGGGGGAGAGGACTCTAAAGCTGAAGTGGTAAATGATGTAATTGACATAACTCACATAGCTAAGGTAATACATGTTAGTGAAGACATTGATCTAGAAGGACAAACAACACCTTCTGCCTATGATGAACCGCTTTCTACATCTCAAAAGCATTTAATTATAGTCTTCTTTGGGTTGTTTGTAGATACAAATGCAGATGACAATTCAACTAGCTTTTTATGAGTTTCTACACTTTCCTCTCTCCATCTTGGAAGTTGGATAGTGTAATATCATCTCAAACTTTCCTATACATTAAACTAACAAACAACCCTTTTATGACCAACCCCATAAAACAAGCACATTTAAGGAAAGAATCAAAACAACAACTAATTTGTGCAATCATAGCATCCTACAGGAGGTATTTTATAGCATTTGATTGCTACATATTTTACAAGTTTACAACCAGGGGTGGATTGGAATATTCTATCCACCTTGAATGAGGGCCTAAAGTAGAGCTTATGCTCTTCAGGGGATTCTGAACTTTTGATACACCTTGGCTCATGGGACACAAAAATTACCGAGTTTCGTTAGAACCACCAGAAGTATCATTTTGGTGTAAATGTTAGTCATGGCAAGCATGTAATTGTCGCTTTCTCTTAACATTACCAGGTGAAGCAGTAGTAACATGTTGATCACAACAAACTACAAGATCTACCAGTTGCAGGTAATGTCGCTGCTTGGTGGAATGAATGCACCATTGTTGTGTTGTTATCAGCAGCATTGACAGGTTCTGTTCCACCTTTTGCTGTTTGCTCCAAGAGGCGAACGAGTGAGATGAATATCTCCATCCTTGTGACATCTCTGTTCGCCTGTTTTTAAATAGCAAATTGTAAGTCATGCTAAATGATAAACAACCAAGAAAAAATTGTGAGAGTACAAGTAGCAGGTTACATCCAAATCTTGATTGGTTACCTCTACAATAAATTGTGCCCATATTTTGTCGTTCCTTGTTTTCCATCACCCCCATCAGGATAGTCAAGCCCAATCCTCTTATAATGTCAGCTATTTCCAAAAATAAGCCCCGTTCCTCGCAAAGCATCTGCAAAGAACAGAAAGTTTAGATGAACCATCAGTCATATTTTTCTAGTAATAGATGTCCTGTCAGATATGCTAGAGAGTGAACAAAAGGATGATTTTTTGAGATGCATAGAAACTAACCTCCACAAGCATTTGACGAGGTTGATTTAGATCCTCAACTATAATAGGGCAGACCATAGACTGTGAGCCTACTTCATATGCCCATGGTGGAAGATCCTCAACTATAATAGGGCAGACCATAGACTGTGAACCTACTTCATATGCCCATGTTGCTCCACCTTCAAGATTATCCTTTAAAAGCAATCCTCCTTCCTTACTGATAATCTGGTGGTTCAAAACGGACAGAAGTGATGACCAATTCTCACATGAATTCAGGCCTCCTATATGATTTATTAACAACGAAACTTATAGCTTAAACTAGCTATCCTTGTAGATAAAAACCTGAGAAATTATGTAGAGTGTAGTTATGTTATCATATTCTTTTCTGACTTTCTTGAACTTGGAAGCTTTATTTTTTCATGATTTCCAGCCATAATTTTAAGTACCGAATCCCAACACAGTATATCAATAAGAAAACTCAACTTTTTCAGTATCATGAGAATAAGGCTAAATGGTTATGAGCCAACCTTTGACTCTCCAGTCTGCTTTAGTTTGTCTGCATGTTTTGTGACACTTTGCAAGAAAGGCATGTGTTTGATCGTGCGTTCGAACAGTGCATCAATACTACACTGAAATCAGATGATCCGTCAAGGAAAAGCATTAGTAAGCAAAATTTTCAGTTACAAAATTGGAAAATAATAAAATAAAAATATCAAAGAGTAAACAGGAATTCCAAGTGTCAAAGGATGTGTATCACCATTGCCCCATTAGGCACAATTTCTCTAAGTTCCTTCACACGATCTTGGATCATTTGCTTGTCCTAGGATTCTCTCCTGGTTAAAGCCTTTTGCGACTTGTTTTGCTCATTTCGTCTGGCTTTTTAGAATATTCTGTTGAAACACTGCTTGATTCCGCACTCCGTGTTCAATTTTTTCACTGTAAAAATCCTGAATGCACTCGCTTGAACTTGGATTCTCATTCTGTGTAATATGTAATTACTCTCTTCATTCTTTTTTGTTAGGTTCTCTTTAAATCCTCTTAGGTGCAGTATAATACACATTTATGTACGTGTTTTTTAGCATTCTTCATTGGTAAAGTACAAGTAAGTGGATTATGCTTTTAATTGATCTTTCACATTTTCAAGCAAGAAAATTCACGACTGTTGGCTTTAAAAATCTTATGTTTTTATATTTGCAGGTTGCATGTCACAGAGGAAGAAGTTCAAGACGCTTTCATTTACATGCTTTGAGATTTCAAATTGAGGATGATTTGAAATGTATCAAAACATAGTTGGGATAACTTTGGAAGGTGTATAATGTAGTATTCAAACTGTCAATTTTGTGTAATTATATTTGAAGTCTGTAGATCCCATTTGCAATGTATTTTTTCCCATCATGGAGAAGAAAGACCGACACACGTTGCTACTAGAATCGTTTGGCATAAAATTAAAATTATATTATCTTGAATTTGCTGATTGACTAAAAGGTAATTACAACATATCTAATTTTCACAAGGATAGATGTTCTAATTACAACTATGCATTACTAAATGCATAATGATGTATTTAAGTGTTTTTTCATGGTTATTTGGTTCACACATGTTTATTGAATGTTCGTGTTAGCACTGAGGTTGTGGCTATCAGTTGTTGACTGTTTTAGCTATACACAAGTAACTATAAAAATAATTTATTGAAACTCAACATGTTGGGTCCGTGCTCAAGCAAGGGTCGTCGCCCCAACTAGTTATCCTTATATAGAAGTGGGAGTTGGAAAGGACCAACACTGCATTAATACTCTTGTACAACATGCATACAATTTTGTTCATTAACTTTTGACTGCATTAATTAGTCGTACAACGTGCAAAAAGAATTGTACATTAATAGAAGGACTAACATTGCAATTATATATTAATAGAAGAACTAACACCAAGGACTAACATTGCAATTATTATTATTACTCATTACTCCTTATTAGAATTATTATTATTACTCATTTGACTCCTTATTAGAGTTGACACTTTAAAGCACGAACACGACACTACCATGTTGTACACAAAACATTTCAAATTGTACTATAAAATTAATTGTGCCTCATTAATTGTACGCGTGCCTTTCTACATATACAACAATCCACATGAAGAATTAATTTTCTGACAATTTTGGTTATATTTTTCTTTAAAATAATTATTGCCTCGATTTTTATTTTTATTTTTAACATTTATTTTTAATTTTAAAAGATTGGAAAATTTATGTTAAAAATTTAAATAATAGAAAAAATGATTTATTTAACTTTTATCATCATCAATACTACTAATTTATTTTACGTTTTTTCTTAATCTTCATCTCATCATTAATGTTATTTATATAATTTTCTTAAATCACTTATTTTATTTTTTTTAACTCTTTTATATTTTATTTTACTCTTATTTAGAAATGAGAGTTTGGAGGACCAACATTGCACTAAAGAGTTGGACTAAAAGCTATAGAAATTGTACATTGAGGCTCACCAAAAAGATAAACTAAAGTAACTTCATCTACTTCTACTTTTTCTACACATATTTTTCTTTAATAAAATAATTATTGCCTCCATTTTTATTTTAATTTTTAACATTTATTTTTAATTTTAAAACATTGGAAATTTTATGTTAAAAATTTAAATAATAGAAAAAATGATTTATTTAACTTTTATCATCATCAATACTACTAATTTATTTGACGTTTTTTCTTAATCTTCATTTCATCATTAGTGTTATTTATATAATTTTCTTAAATCACTTATTTTTTCTTTTTTAACTCTTTTATATATATAAAAGTTGGATATGTAAATGATGATGTCATATTTCTTAGAAGCTAAGATTACTCTCTTATTAGAAGTGAGACTTAGAAGGACTAACACTGCATTAATACTCTTGTACAACATGCATACAATTTTGTACATTAACTTTTGACTGCATTAATTAGTTGTACAACGTGCAAAAAGAATTGCACATTAATAGAATGACTAACACGAAGGACTAACATTGCAATTATTATTATTACTCATTACTCCTTATTAGAATTATTATTATTACTCATTTTGCTCCTTATTAGAGTTCACACTTTAAAGCACGAACACGGCACTACCATGTTGTACACAAAGCATTTCAAATTGTACTATAAAATTAATTGTGCCTCATTAATTGTACACTTGCCTTTCTACATATACAACAACCCACATGAAGAATTAATTTTCTGACAATTTTGGTTATATTTTTCTTTAAAATAATTATTGCCTCGATTTTTATTTTTATTTTTAACATTTTTTTTTAAAAGATTGGAAATTTTTTGTTAAAAATTTAAATAATAGAAAAAATGATTTATTTAACTTTTATCATCATCAATACTACTAATTTATTTTACGTTTTTTCTTAATCTTCATCTCATCATTAATGTTATTTATATAATTTTCTTAAATCACTTATTTTTTCTTTTTTAACTCTTTTATATTTTATTTTACTCTTATTTAGAAATGGGAGTTTGGAGGACCAACATTGCACTAAAGAGTTGGACTAAAAGCTATATAAATTGTATATTGAGGCCCACCAAAAAAATGAACTAAAGTAACTTCATCTACTTCTACTTTTTCTACACATATTTTTCTTTAATAAAATAATTATTGCCTCCATTTTTATTTTAATTTTTAACATTTATTTTTAATTTTAAAACATTGGAAATTTTATGTTAAAAATTTAAATAATAGAAAAAATGATTTATTTAACTTTTATCATCATCAATACTATTAATTTATTTGACGTTTTTTCTTAATCTTCATCTTATCATTAATGTTATTTATATAATTTTCTTAAATCACTTATTTTTTATTTTTTAACTCTTTTATATATATAAAAGATGGATATGTAAATGATGATGTCACATTTCTTAGAAGCTAAGATTACTATTTATCTAATTTCTCCAAAAAAAATTTAAAAAATGAAGATATCATACGCAAATTTATGGTTAAACTTAAACTATTTGATTCTCGAGAAATAAAAAGTCTTACATAAAATGGGACAGACGAAGGATAACTCTCAATTAAATTTATTTCACTTTTTATTTTCCATTTTTAACATAATTTTTCAAGTTGGATTTCTAGGAATTCTATAGTAGACCCATTTAAATTTTACATTTTTGTTTTAAATTAGAGAACTTGGCCGCACTTCGCGCGATCATTTAAATTAAATATTTTTGATTAATTTTATATTTACTTTGTTGTTTAATCGTAATATTATTATTTGTCTTAATAATATGAAGATTGTGAAAAAAAATAAAGCTTCACAAATTTTACATCTATTAAATGAGGAAGAGTATATTTTTTATCAAATAAGTTAAAATATATTTGCTAATAAAAAATTCTTCCATTGCATGAAGTTCATCCTTTAATATATAATATATATTTCGGTCTACCATTCTCCTTAAATGTCTTAGAAATATCTCATAATGTCAAATAAGACTGTAATACTCCCTCTGTCCCTAATTACTTGTCCACTTTTAAATTTACACATTTATTAAGAAATCAATTAATGACATAGTGAGTTTATCATTTTACCCCTATTAATTATGAAGTAGATGAAAAGTTCTGCAATTTTCAAAGTAATTAGTCATTTAATTGAGGGTATAATAGGTAAAAAAATATTCATTCTTGATTTGTCAAAATGGACAAGTAATTAGAGACAACTATAAAAGAAAAGTAAACAAGTAATTAGGGACAGAGGGAGTACTAAACAAATGCATCAACAAATGAAATTTATATTAAAAATATATTGAATAATGACGTAATGATACCTTAATAGAATTTCCTATCCATTTTAAAAAAAAAAACCTTCACCCTTTCAATTTCGATATATCTTCTTATTTAGTAGAAGAATCATCATTTATTATATTCTACTCCACCTTAATTTGTACCATCAGAGTTTTAAGAATAAACATTAAATTTTAAATCGAAATAAAAATTCATTGAAAAATGACAGAAAAAATAATAATAGTATATGAAAATTAAAATAAGGTGCAAGAAAAGCCTTTTCACGATAATTTTTTCAAATATATTGACAACAATTAAAATGAAGCTGTTATTTTATCTTTAAAATTAAGTTTGATTGAATTGAATTAGTACAATGAGAAAAAATATTAAACTAATAACTTTTTCATGTTATTAAATGCATTTTATTTTTAATTGAGTAGTAGATTAAAAGTTCCGAATTAGGATATTAAAATAATATCTTAATCTCTCCTTAATTATTATGGTATTGCAAACATTTATTTTCCTTAAATCGTGATTCATTTTCCATTTACTGTTATATCCAATTAATTTCTAATGTATTGAATGTGGTTATGGGATATTGAAATAATATCTTTATTTTTCCTTAATCATAATAAAATTATAATTTAACATTTATTTTTCTGAAATGATAATTTTGTTTTAATTCCTAGAACATGTTGTTTACTATATTGAATGTAATTGTAATAAAACATATTGTATTTAGTATGACAAAAGAACTCAAAAATTGGAGAAATTAGATAAATAGTAATCTTAACTTCTAAGAAATGTCACATCATCATTTACATATCCAACTTTATATATATAAAAGAGTTAAAAAAG